TGAGATACCCTATCTCTCTATTAATAATAACGGATGAAGACTCAACAGGATTCTCATGACTCGACTGTACTCAAACAGATGTAGTAGACTCTCGATCGCACTCGGTGTTGAGATACCCAACTTTCTACCAATAACAGTTGTGAGAGAGAATGTAATTGAGCGCCTCATGACCAGGTGATACACGAAAAACCACATTCCTTAGTCACATATAACACAGCAAGGGTCGACGCCGAATGCCTTCCTCCATCCATCCCAACTCATACAGCAACCATGCCCACTAGACGCACTACCCTCAAGACCATTCAATCAGAACGAAAGAAGAAGAAGAAGAAGAAGAAGAAGAAGAAGAAGAACGGAGACGAGTCCAATATTTCAACGAATATAGGGAGTAAGCTCAATTAAGCGCAATATCCTTCGTACGCCTTCGTCATCACCGACCAATTATTTCGAAGTCACAGAATCATTCTCCATAATGAGCATATTCACAAGCGCACGCCCCACCCCTTCCTACTCACTACTCCCTTAATTCTCAGCAAAAAACCATCTCTTGTGTCGGAGCTCGAGAAGAGCTAAGATATAACCAATCGATGTTTCATAAACAAATCAAAGAACTCCTCCTAAATTGCAATAGAACCCGTGTCCACGCGATGCAGACTCTCAGGTCACTAGGCACAGTCCGACACCCCATTGACATCATATAATCTCATGGTCGTTGTGCATTCCAAGTATCGAATTCATGCAGATCCCGAACTATGTCATTGCTGCTTGAGATAGGAGATCGTTTCAAAAAGCATAGCCTGATCACACAGCAATCACAAAAAGCGCATCCCCCAATCCCGACGATTCATCCCGCATGCTACATTTAAAACATGAAGCAGCCAAAATAATAATCATCCAACAGGCGACAGGTGACAAATGATAAGTGATCTCAAGATTCAGAGCAATCCTATGACAGCTAAAGACTACTAGTGATTCTCATTCATCTATTTTGCAATCACCATTGTACCACACAGAGGGTAGGTGAGAGAAAGTATAGTCAGATCCGGCTAGGGTGGTGACAATCATCCTTAAACATGTTTTTCTCTAATCTTGCCACAGATTAGCTCGTCAGAGGTGTCCAAAATTGGACAGCACAGCATGTGACTAACCTTTAACCAAAGAGACGTATGAGAACCAATCCTAGGATAGATCGAGACTGGATAGAGGTGACAGGAAGAGGAGAGACCAGGAAGGAGAGAGATAGGAGGATAGAGGAAGAAGAAGAAGAAGACGAAGAGGTTGAGAAGAAGGAGGAAGGAGGTGGAGGTGGAGGGTTCAAGCTGTTGGGGCGATCACATCACCTCCAATTTCGATGCATGGTCGGCGACTCTATCCTCCAAAAGATGCAAATGAAGCATCTCTTCAAAATTGAGTGCTACGTCCATGATGAGGTCACAAGACCCTCCTCGGTCAAAGTGCTATCGTGAGCACAGGGGTAAGTTCAACGGAAGCCCCCACAGGAATCAAGGAGCATGTGATCACGATTGTTGCGGAAAGAGCTATGGAAACTCTTGGGAATGACGCAAAGAGGGAGGCGGACAATTCACACGCAATAGTGGCAGAAATGGCAAGTAGCGCATACCTCGTACGCGTCATAGCGGCACAGACTGACCGTACATGAACCGGTAGTGTCAAGCGCGACTATACCGACGAGCATCCTGAAGCCAGGACACGCACTGGTATAGGCGCGTTCGGCACCACCGAGAAAGAGGATTGGTACTGAACTAATCTTACTCTTAAATAGTACTTTCCTAATGGTTTCTGCAGTAGGACAGAGGGGTCTGGGTTTTATTCTAGAAGTTTCAGTGTCGTTTGAGGGCCAGAGAAATATAGGAAGGGCCTACTCATGATTATAGGCCAAAGGATGACTAAAGTATTATTCGTCCAGGGAGTTGGGTTGAGGTGATCAGACAGACCAGGGGGGTTACTTTTCACTTTAAATTTTTTAATTTCTTATACTTTCTTAATTTTAATTCTAATAATTGTCTCAGACATGTTCGTAGCCCTGGTGAAGGGTTCGAATCTTATCATTATTACAAGAGTTCCATTCTGAAAAATCATATATATATATATCGTCAAATAGAACTGCCCGGTAAACCGTAGGCAGAGAGGGAGAAGAGGACAACAAACGAGGGGCTGTGACAAACTGTTTCGTCGGAGTTTCACCGACTCATCAGGAGGCTGAACCC